CCGAAGATTTGTAAACCTATATCCAAAAAGATATTTGCACACTGATGTTCATAGCAGCACTATTCACAGTGGCCAGGACATGGAAGCAACCGGAGTGTCCTATGATAGATGATTGGCTAAAGAAGCAGTGGTACATATATACAATGGAATATTACTCAGCCATAAGAAGAGATGAAATAATGCCATTTGCAACAACCTGGATGGACCTCAAGATAATTATGCTAAGTGAAATAAGCCAGACTGAAAATAATTGAAAATCACATGATATCACTTATATGTGGGATATAAACCTAAAAGCAACAAATGAACAGGAGAAACAGCGACTCAGGGACATGGACAATGGACTAGTGGTTACCAGAGGGTAGGGGGTGGGAGAGGAGGGAAGAGGTAGACAGGGTAAAGGGGGTCAAATATAGGGGGATTGGGGGAGAGTGAAGTGAGTAAAGGGGATCAAATATATGGTAGTTGAAGGAAACTGGACTCTGGATGGTAATCACACAATAGAATATATAGATGTCAAATTATAATGTACACCTGAAAATTATATAATTGTATTAACCAATGTTACTCCAATAAACTTAAAAAAATTGTTTACTCTAGGGAGGTGGACTAGGTCTGTGAGTAAAGAGGCTTCATATCTTCCTTACCTTGGGGAACTTGCACAAGGCCGACACTTATACCAGCAAGTAAGTCTCCAAGAAGCCAGTCCTTGAATCGATAGAAACACACCCACTCTAGGAAGGGAAAAACCGTCAGCATGCATTTTATAAACTTGTGCCACGAACAGCTGTGAGAAAGAAGAACAGAGGCTTGATTAGGTTCTCTGAAGAAAAAGCCCACATAGCCAAGAAAAGGCACAGTGCATAATTCTTCCCATTCAGCAGTTTTTTTGTTGCACTGTTGACATTTTGATATACTTGACTTGATAATTCTTTGCTCTGAGTGAAATATAAATACCCAGTGGTTAGGGGAAGCTGTGCATTGTAGGAAGTTTAGCAGCATCCCTGGTCTCTACTCAATTAATGCCAGTAGCACCCTTTCCTCCATCTGTGGCACTCAAAAATGTATCCAGAAATTGCCAGATGTTCCCTGGGAGACAAAATTGCCTCCAGTTGAGAGCCAGTATCATGCATATACCACAAACTAAGCCTTATAAGTTCAGTGTAAAGATCAAGTCTGTGTGTTTCACAGAATGTTTAGAAAGATTGAAACCTACTGACTTTCCAGTAGAAAAACAGACTCTTATTGCTTTCTCTTGATAAGTACAGTTTTTTGAGATGTGATATTGGTGAGTGGCAGCGGCAATTAACACACCCACATCATTCTTATATAATTTTTACTGAACATTCATTCTACGTGGCTTTGACCCATAATACGTAGAAATTTATAGAAAATATAGGTTATGAAGTTACCATGCTTAAGGAGTTAGCCATGTTAAAAAAAAAAAAGGCAGTAAAATATGACTTTGTTATCTTTAGCCCAGTGGATGTCAACCAGAAGCAATTTTGTTACCCAAGGGACATTTTGCAATGTCTGGAGACATTTTTGATTATCATGACTGTAATCTAATGAGCAGAGGCCAGGAATGCTGCTAAACATTCTAAAATGCATAGAACAGCTCCCCATAAGAAATAATTTTCTGGTAAAAAATATTAATGATGTTGAGATTGAGAAAACATACTTTAACCTTTAGATCATCTAAAAAGGAAGAATGACCTTAAATCCATCGATTGATCAGTTAATCAATCAGTAAAACTAGTTAGGTTTTAAATTGCTTTTTGCTATTTACATTTTAGTATGGGCTGAAAGCAAAGAGTATGATTTTTCATGTATAAGTTGTAGCTGGATAACTGGGATTTGACTACAGCAATAAATAAAACTTTAGTGTATGCAAGGCTAAAATGTGTGCTCAGAAGAGAAGTAGTTTCACATAGGTTTGACATAGGTCACACAACTATGAGCATTACTATCCCTAAGGTAATTAGGGCTAAATAAGTGTAAGTGACTTTGCTAAGGTCATAGTAGTAAGTGTAGGCAGACCTTAGGCTAGAACCCAGGTCTTCTGATTCCTAGTTTAGTGTTCTATTGATTCTATTATTGTCACCATTCCTATTGACGCCTGTTGAATTCTGCTCAGGACCCAGAAGCAAGACCACTGGTTTGAAAGTAATATCACATTGCTATTTTTATGAGAGTCTCTGGATATAGGTAGGTGTACAGTGTGCTCTCTCCAGTTACAGCCTTCTATGGAGGTGAGTGGAGCATGGCATTGGGACAAGTTGTTCCTTCATCCAATCTAGTCATCCCTCCTCTCCATGTGCCACTTGGAAAAAGACCAGCCACCCTAGGCAGCGGCATCAAAGCTCTGTAGCATGGCAAAAAGTAAAATGGACATGGAATAATGAAGATCTAAGACTGAAAGAAGAGGAATAGAAATTGAAGCTGATGGGAACAGTATAAGCATTTGACGTGAAACTGGATTTTAGCTAAGGCATCTTAAAAGTGAGGAAAATAAGTCAATAGGAGATTTTGACAAGAAAGAGTCTATTTGCAGTTGCTAACTAAGAGGGAGAAAATGAGAAAGGAGATTAGGTTTTCTGAAGAAAGGAAGATATGAAGTTAAGAGATTGTTTTTTAACTGAAAAAAGCCACTTATATAGTGCTTTCTACTTGCTAGGTGCTTTACAAATACTCATTAAATCCTCACAATTGACAAACCTTTAGCCAGACTCACCAAGGAGAAGAGAGAGCTCAAATAAATAAAACCAGAAATGAAAGAAAAGAGGTTATAATCAACACCACAGAAATACAAAAGATGATTAAAGACTACTATGAACAATCATATGCCAACAAATTGGACAACCTAAAAGAAATAGAAAAATTTCTAGAAACATACAACCTTCCAAGAATGAACCAGGAAGAAACAGAAAATCTGAACAGGCTGATTACTAGGAACAAAATTGAAGAAATTAAAAAAAAAAAAGAAGCTCCCAACAAACAAAAGTCCAGGATACTTCACTTCACAGATGATTTCTATAAAACATTTCAAGAAGAATTAATATCTATCCTTCTCAAACCATTCCAAAAAATTGAAGAAGAAGAAATATTTCCAAATTCATTCTACAAGGCCAGCATTACCCTGACACCAAAATCAAACCAAGAGGCTTAGAAGCCACCTACTGGAAAAAGAAAAGAAAGAAAGAAAGGAAGAAAGAAAGGAAAAGAAAATTACAGGCCAACATTCTTGATGAACATAGATACAAAAAGCCTCAACAAAATACTAGCAAACCAAATTCAGTAATACATTAAAAAGATTACACACCATGATCAAGTGGGATTTATCCCAGATATGGAAGGATGGTTCAATACCTGCAAACAATTAATGTATACATCACATCAACAAAAGCATGGATAAAAATCATGTGATCATTCAAAAGATGCATAAAAAGCATTTGACAGAAATCAATATCCATTTATGATAAAAATTGTCAACAAAGTGGGTATAGAGGGAACTTAACCTCAACAAATAAAGGCCACATATGATAAACCCACAGCTAACATCATACTCAATGGTAAAAAAGCTGAAAACTTTTCCTCTAAGACCCAGAACAAGACAAGGATGCCCACTCTCACCACTATTATTCAATATAGTATTGGAAGTCCTAGCCACAGCAATCAGACAAGAAAAAGATATAAAAGGCATCCAAATTGGAAAAGAAGCAGTAAAACTGTCACTATTTGCAGAGACATGATACTCTGTATAGAAAACCATCAAAGACTCTACCAAAAAATTAATAGAATAAATGAATTCAGTAGAGTTCAAAATTAATATATAGACACCCGTGGCATTTCTATACACTAATAACAAACAATCAGAAGGAGAATTTTTTTTTAAAAATCCCATTTTCAATTGCACCAAAAAGAATAAAATACCTAGGAATAACTTTAACCAAAGAAGTGATGACCTGTACTCTAAAAACTGTAAAACATTGAAGAAAAGAATTGAAGAGGACACAAATAAATGGAAGGGCTTGTTGTGCTTATGGATTAGAAGGATTAATATCTTTAAAATGCCCATACTATCTAAAGCAATCTACATATTCAAGGCAATCTCTATCAAACTGCCAATGGCATTCTTCTCAGAACTAGAACAAATAATTCTAAAATTTATATGGCGCCACAAAAGACCATGAACAGCTAAAGCAGTCTTGAGAAAGAACAAAGTTGGCAGTATTATGCTCCTTGATTTCAAACTAGACTACAAGGCTATAATAATCAAAACAGTATGATACTGGCACAAAAACAGACACATAGATCAATGGAACAGAATAGAGGGCACAGAAATAAACCCTCACTTATATGGTCAATTAATCTATGACACAGGGGGCAAGAATATACAACGGAGAAATGACAGTCCCTTCAACAAGCAGTGCTGGGAAAACTAGACAGATACATGCAAACAAAGGAAACTGGACTGCTCTCTTATACCATATACAAAGATAAACTCAAAATGGATTAAAGATTTAAATGTTAGATGTGAATCCCTAAAACTCCTAGAAGAAAACATAGGTAGTAAACTCTTTGACATCAGTCTCAGTAATATCTTTTTAGATATGTCCCCTTGAGCAAGGGAAACAAAAGCCAAAGTGGACAAATGAGACTTCATCAAACTAAACGGCTTCTGTGTAGCAAAAGAAACCATCAATGAAATGAAGACCACCTACTGCATGGGAGAAGAGATTCACAAATAATATATCCAATAAGGGGTTAATATCTAAAAGATATAAAGAATTTGTACAACTCAATAACAGCAACAAAAAAAATAAACAATCCAATCAAAAATGGGCAGAGGGCATGAAGAGACATTTCTCCAAAAGAATACATAGATGGCCAAAGACATATGAAAAGATGGCCAGCATCACTAATCATCAGAAAATGTAAATCAAAACCACAATGAGATACCATCTCACATCAGTCAGAATGGTTATTACCAAAAAGTCAACAAACAACAAGTGTTAGAGATGATGTGGAGAAAAGGGAACCCTTGCTCACTGTTAGTGGGACTATGAATGGGTACAGCCACTATGGAAAACGGTAGTGGAGTCTCTTTAAAAAACTAAAAATAGAACTACCACATGACCCAGCAATTCCATTTCTGGATATTAACCAAAGAAAATGAAAAAACTAATTCCAAAAGATATGTATCCCTATGTTCATTGCAGCATTATCTACAATAGCCAAGATATGGAAGCAACATAAGTGTCCATTAATAGATGAATGGATAAAGAAGAAGTGGTATACATACACAATGGGCTATTATTCAGCCATAAAAAAGAATAAAATTCTGCCATTTGTGACAACATAGTATTATGCCAAATAAAATAGATCAGACAGAGAAAGGCAAATGTCACATGATTTCACTTATATGTGAAATCTAAAAACAAACAAACAACACAAAACAAAAACAGATGCACAAGAACAGCGAACAAATTGATGATTGCTAGAGGGATGGGAGTGGAGAGATGGGTGAAAAAAGTGAAGGGGAATATAGTCAATAATACTGTGGTAACTTTGCACGGTGACAGAAGGTTACAAAACAGTGTGGTGATCACACTGTAAGGTCTATAAATGTCAAATCACTATGTTGTACACCAGAAACTAACATAATAGTGTATACTAAGTATACTTTAGTAAAAAATAAACAAATCCTTACAATCACCTTATGAAGAAGGTGCTATTACCATCCTCATTTTACAGGTGAGGAAACTGAAGCACAGTAGGGTTGGATAGCTTACCTAAAGTCACACGGTTGGGAAGCAGAACAGGGATTCGAAACCAGGCAATCTGTCTTCTGAGTCTCGCTCTTAACCACAGTACCTCTCAGGTTAAAATTCAGATGTGAATATAATTGTATGTTTTAGAAGTAGGGGATAAGAACTGCTAAAAAAAAGCCCATGGGAGGCAGAACAGGTCAGATTTAAAAGTCTAATACTAGGGCCAAGAGGGGGTGGGGAGAGGGGAACAGGGATAAGTACCCATTTATGAAGAGGTATAAGTCGGGAAAAGACTATTATTTTGTAGAGACAAAGCCAATGTGGCCCCCCAATGCCCTCTTTGACATATGATGTCTTACCCAACCTGGAGCAGAGAAAATGAGAGCGGTGATGTAAGACTGAAGAGGGACATCCAAGACCACAACTTGCAAAAGGCAGGATATGGACAAAGGAGAATGCCTCAGAGAGAGGAAGTTCTGCAATAGGGCTGTGTGGAGGCCTTCCTCACCTATCACCCAGCACATGCTGATTGTGGGCGATAAATCCACCGTGTAAGTGAGGATGACTTGAGTAATTAGGGTTAATATCATGATGTAGGTAGCTCACAAAGGGTTCTTATCCTGAGGTCTATGGACCCCACAAGAGGTCTGTAGATAGAATTTATGGGGGTATGTGAACTTAGGAAAAATTATATCTTTATTTTCACAAACCCCGTAACTGAAATATAGAATTTCTTTTAATTATGATGACAACAAACCAGAGTAGTATTAGCAGAACTTGACTTTGCCACCAATAGAAATCACAAATATTTTCATATTACATTAAAATTGTTGCAAATATCTTAAAATATCATTTATATTCAATACTACATTATTAAATAACATAATTTGGGGATTTTTTATATTTCGATAAGTATATTTAAATAAAGCTTGTTTCTTTTATAATCCTATCTATTTTATGCATTAAAAAATATTCTAGTTGAGACCATTCAATGGGAAAAGAACAGTCTCTTCAACAAATGGTGCTGGGAAAACAGGATATCCACGTGGAAAAGAATGAAGTCAGACTCTTACCTTGCACAACACAAAATTAACTCAAAATGGATCAAGGATGTAAATTTAAAAGCTGAAACTATAAAATTCTTAGGAGAAAACATAGGGGGAAATCTTCATGATCGTGGATTTCACAATAGTTTTTTAAACATGATACCAAAATCACAGGCAACAAAAGACAAAATAGATAAATTGGATTTCATTAAAATTAAAAAACCATTGTGCACCAAAGGACACTATAAATAGAGTGAAAGGAAAACCTACAGAATGGGATGAAATATTTGCAAATTATATAACTGATATAATATTCAGAATATATAAAGAACTACAACTCAACAACAAAAGACAACCTAATTTTAAAAAGGGCAAAGGAAGCAAATAGACATTTCTCCAAAGAAGGTATACAATTGGCCAATAAGCACATGAAAAGAAGTTCATTATATTTAGTTATTAGGCAAATGCAAAAACAAATGAACAAAACCCACAGTGAGATACCATTTCACATCTACTAGGATGCCTATAATGAAAAAAAAGGTAAATAACAAAGGTTGGAGAAGATATGGAGAAATCAGAACACTTGTACATTGATGGTGTGAGTGTACAATGGTGCTACCACTGTAAAAAAGTTCGGCAGTTTCTCAAAAAGTTAAATATTGAATTACCATGTGATCCAACAATTCTACTCCTAGGTAATACCTAAAAGAATTGAAGACAGGGACTCAGCAGTTACTCTGATGCCAATATTCATGGCAGCATAATTCACAAAAACCAAAAAGTAGAAACAGCTCAAGTGTCCACTAACAAATGAATAGATAAACAAAATGCAATATATATGTATAATAGAATATCACCAGCCATAAGATGAAATAAAGTATTGATTCATGCTGTAACATGGATGAACCTTGAAAACATTATGTTAAGTGAAATAAGCCAGATTTGAAAGACAAATATTGTATGATTCCACTTAAATGAAATATCTAGAATAGGCAATTCATGGAAATAGAGAGTAGAACAGAGGTTATCAGGGGCTGGGGGGAGGGGAAAATGGGGAGTTATTGCTTAATGGGCAAAGAGTTTCTGTTTAAGGTGATGAAAAAGTTTTGGAAACAGTGGTGATGGTTACACAGTATTGTGAATGTCATTGATGCAGATATGTACATTTAAAAATTGTTAAAACAGCCAATTTTATTTTATATATATTTTAACAACAAAAAAAGGAAAAAAGATTATTTTGAAAAGAGATTTCTAGGCTTTACTAGACTGCTAAAAGTTTCACAGCACAAAACCAGGGTAGGAGTCCCTGAACTGTAAAACCTATATGGTCACAGTGAGTATTAGACGACATGGATTCCATGTTGATGGCCATGACTACTATGTGGGTTCCGGTGGATATGAGATACGAGGAATCTCATTCTGTTACCATTAATTAGTCCACCATGATTGCTTCTTTTGTTATTGTTAGGAGACTGATAATGGTGGTTAATCAAACAATATATTTATTAAATATCATCTCTAGATGCTGTGGGGGATATCCAAGGCCTTTATGTTCAAGAAGTTTAAAACCGAGAAGGTGCTGCAAGACAAAGCACAAAAGAATCAACTAAAGAGAAATCACACATTAAACTAAGCGTTCTGATGACAGGAATTCAGAGGAGAAAGACAGAAGTAGGCACCAAAGGAGTCAAGTAGGGTTATGGTTCTGCCAGCATAGCTGTAGGTAAGCGACCCCACACACGAACCGGCACTGGACATGGTGTCTGACGGTGGTGATGTCGATGTCCACGTTCCCAGAGGAAGTGGACTTCCTTCTGTGTTCTTGCTGAAAGGTCTCCTCATTGTACACATCTCGCTTAACATCATACGTGAAAGAATTTCCCCTAGATTTAGAGTCAAAATTCTGAATGTGCCTCTCTGGTTGCATCATTCCTGGACAGATGGAAAGAGATAGATCAAACAAAAAACCATTAAAAAAATTTAGATCTTTATAAATAAAATTTCCATATAATAATTTCTTACATTTGTATAACATATTATGGAACTCTCTCATGTGTTGTAAAGTTTTTTGTTTTTTGTTTTTTTAAGGTGAGGCAATCCTTGATTGACCTCACAGATTGCAAAGACCTTGTCAGCTTACAATTTTTTATTTTTATTTTTTACGCCTACAGCGCCTGGTCTTCCTAGGTGGTCTCCCATCCAAGTACTAACCAGGCCAAACCCTGCTTAACTTCTGAGATCAGGCAGCATCAGGCTTGTTCAGGGTAGCATGGCCATAGACTCAGTTTTATACTTAAAACCATCCTATAAAGAATGCAAGGTGTGTATTATTCTCATTTTCCAAATGGAGAAACCAAAACTCAGAAGTTTAAACAGACTTGGCTGTTAAATAATTAGAGTCAGGACTAGAATCCAGGTGTCCTGCTAGGAAGCCTAGTTTTCTTTATATTCAATTATGTTGCAGGGAAATGATTAAGAGGTAAAAGTCAGTATAACCACCAATTTTCACTGAAAATGCTAAGGATTAAGTGGTCAGGCAATACAGTGTCTTCTAACTTTCTCTATTTGAAATAGCATCCATCATTATCCCTTTATCCTTTCCTATTCTTTAAAGCACATGTATGGTCATGCCACCTTGAATGTTCCTGATCTCAGAAGCTAAGCAGGGTTGGGCCTAGTTAGTACTTGGATGGGAGACCACCTTGGAACACTAGGTGCTGTAGGTGTTATAAAATAAATAAATAAAGCACTTGCTAACACCTGATTCAATATTTTTCTATTTGGTCATTGTCTGTTTCCCATACTAAAATGCAAGTCTAAGAGGTAAGACTTTGGCTGTTTATGGCTGTATTCTCAAGGCAGAATAGTGCCTGACACTTAGCAGATCCTCAACAAATATTTCTTCAATGACTTTCAAGTATCCCGTTAGAGGCTTCATGGTGTAGGAGAAAAAGGATTGCACAGGGTCTCAGGAGACTGGGGTTCTAGCCCTGGCTGTTTTTCTAACTAGCTGTATGATTGGGGGCAAGTTTCTTAGAAACTGACTTTCAGTTTCCTTGTGCACAAAATGACATGGTTGGACCACATGATCTCTAAGGGTCACATTAAGCTTTAAAAATCTGTATGGTTCTGCTCTTTTAAGAGAATCAGAATGAGGAATTAGGATGGATATAGATCCATCTCTGGGAGAAAGTATGACCATTCTTGATCATCTGTGTTTTTGAATAATAAAAAAGGCATAAACTCTAAAATTTTTCCACATAAATATGAAAAAGTATATATATATATCATAGCTATAAAATATATAAGAAAACACAAATTATGTAGACTATGCAAATAGTTCTTTAATAGGTAAGGCTGCAAATGAGTTTAATGTATCAACAACTTTGTTTTCCTTCATAAAGATCATGTGTCATTATCATCATCATTGTAATCGTCAACATTCATTGAGCACTTACTACATACAAGCATTGCACTAGATTTTTTTTCATGAGTTTTTTCATTTAATTCTCACAACAATTCTAGTATTACTATTATCCTTATTTTATAGGTGATAAAACTGAGGTTTTAGAAAATTTAAGTAACTGGGTCATAGTTATATATTGTACTTTTACCCTTAAAGCATTGGGTAGCAGTAGTATGCTATACAACACCTATGAACTAAAGATAAAAAATTCAATAAAGAAGTGAGAATGTGGTTGGGAAATACAGAAGAGGATGGAAGAGGTATTTTACAATGTATCATTTAAGAGAATTAGTACTTCGTATCTTTTACATAAACAAAAAAAAACAGGTAGAACTGTACATCAAAACATAATATTTCCCTCTTTGTTTCCCCACCTATAGCAATACTGATACAGTTTTCCTTACTTTTTTTCATGTAATGTTACAATAAACTTCCATTACTAGCACATATCTGTTCCTGGCAACTAAAAGAGCCTAATTAACCTGCTTATTATATCAAGATTATAATAACTACCATCATAGGTTAGATCCAGGGCCTAGAATCCAGCATTTTGTTTCTGAAAGTGGCACTAAGGCAGAGTTGGCGAGAAGTAGGCACAGTGAGGACTGTGGGGCTGAAGAGGGCAGCAGCAGCTACTCCACTCCAGCAACTGTGGTTACAGGTCACATTGGGCCCAGCATTGTCAGATCAGATCTTTCTCAATAGAATCCATGATTCCAGATTTTTATGTGAAATCTTCTGACATTTAAATGTTGTCAATCACTCTTCATATTTTTTAAAACACAGTACACATCTAACAAAACTCTTCTACAGGCTAGATGAGGTCTGTGGACCACCACTGTGTGACTTTTGTGCCAAAAGCCTTGTTGTTGAAGACATAAAATATCCTCATCTCCTCCTATCAAATACTTCCAAAGCTGAAGTATTTATATTTTCTGCTGTAGTACTCTTTGGAGGTATTATATCCTACAAGTTCACTTAGGAAAAGTTGTATTTCATTTTGTCTTTGATCTATATCATTTATATTTCAAGAGGTGGCCCTCATTTACTAGACTAGGATTTGCTAATTTTGCTTGCTTTTATTTTCACTACTTTATAAATTTCTCCCGTACTACTCTTGGCCTTCATTTGTTTCTAACTGCTATTTCACCTGTGGTCAATTAATTTAGTGTTCCATAAACATTTGCTGAATGCCAAGTACTCTAGGAATACAAAGACTCTAAAATTTGTTAGAATAAAAATAGCAAGATATAGTGCTGTGAGAGTTTAGTGATGGGAAAGACACGAATTAACGTTTATTGCTTCTCTGCCATATGCCAGGTTCTTCATCTCATGAGATAGGTACTATTTTCCTGATAACGATTATATTCATTTTACTGATGAATTTAGTGAGTTCCTCAGAGTCCTACAATAATTAAATAGCAGAGCCAGAATCTGATCTTTCTGATTCCAAAATAGACACCACATCCTAATACCATGCAATCTCCTACAGAGTGGAGTTAATAATCTCAACCCTAGGGATGAGGAAGGCCTCCTGGAAGAGATATGATTTGAGCTATGCTCTGTCTAAACTGTGAACAAGGAAGAGAATAAGGTATTTCAGGAAGAGGATAGAATAAATTACAGAGATAATAAGATAATAAGGCAAGTAATTCAATAGATCTGAGTAAAGTCAATGTTAAGCCCAAAAAGTAGGTTGAAGCCCATTCAAAATTTAATTGGACTTTTTATCTATTTAAAGTGTTTGAGCAGATGTAGTAATATGCAAAGACACATGTTTTGGGAAAATGAGTTGTGTCAATGGTATGGTCTAGAGCTCTGCTATCTAGTATGGAAGCCGCTGGCCACCTGTGGCAATTTAAATTTAACTTAATTAAAATAAAATGAAAATGTTGGTCTCTCGATCTCACTAGTTACATTACAAGTGCTCAACAGCCATATGTGGCAGGGGCTACCATACTGCACAGCACAGACATAAAACATTTCCATCACACATTAAGCGCCATTGAACCATGCTTGGAGAAAGAAGAGAATGAGGGTAAAGAGACCATTGGAGACCATTGTTATTACAACAGTTTAGGGGAGAGGTAATCAAATCATAACTCATGGGACCATAGTGAGGATAGCTAAGAGGGGCAGGTGGAAAACTCTTCAAAGGGCTCATCACATGGCTGGCTAAGGGCAGCAAGGGAAAACAAATGATTTCCTTATTATTATTTTTTTTAAGTAGTCTTCTCTGGCATTTCTACAACTTCATTATGTCTTTCTTAATTTTACAGAAACCCTAGTGGTTCATCTTCATGCACTAGCAGGACCCTTCCTCACAAAGTACAATGACCAGAAGCTCCTACTGACAAGTGGCAGATGCACTTTGGTGTGGAGAAAGTGATACATTTCAGAAAACAGTCATCCAAATTGCATCGATGGGATAATGACCTTTCATCTGAGACACAACACAAGAGGGAGTCTGTGTTATTGACTCCGGAGGCATTAGTAGGATGGGGCCTCTGCCTACAGTGTGATCAACAACATGGTAAGCTCTACTCATAATCTTGAAGATAAATGTCCACTTAGGAAACAATTCTCTGATGCTTCCTGACATTAGACAAAATATTTAGGTAGGTCCAAACTACTTAAGGTTTCATTTTCTAATTCCATAAGTATGACATAATTTTGGGTATCTGGATTCACTACTAACAGAAATTAGTCTGATCTCCATAGCCCACACACTGTCTCCATATAGCATCAGGATCATTTGGGAACTAATTTAGAAATGCAACTTCTATTTAGCAAACCTAATTATTAGAAACTTTGAGGATGGGCCAGTAGTCTGGTTAAAGCCCTCCAGGTGATTCTGATACACAATAAAGTATGAAAACCACTGTAAACATAGCTAATTATCTTTATTTAGTCAGCTTTTCAATGCTAAACTTGAGGGCACTGTTAAAATACAGGCACTTTCGACCTAGCTCGTTTATCCCCCAAATTACCCCTACCTATGCAGCCATCCACTGATTCATTAACATAATGTGTTGAAAGTATTTTAAAAGTCAAGAATAAAAAATTTAAATGCAACCTAATTTTCTGACTATTGACCCAATAGATATGAAATCCTAAAACAGTTTAGTTGTAAGAATCTTTTTCTTGATATCGTCATCTTTCATATGTTCTCTAAAATCATGGAAAGGTAAAATTCACTTCCAAATTTCAAAATAAGCATTTGTAATTCCATCAGAAACAGTTTTTTTGCCTGTTACCACGCACATTTTTATGGGAAATGTATTTGGAATATAGAAGAGGCACAAGCAGAGCATTGCTTTTAGTATCCTTCAGTCATGCTGTCTAGTGGCTGGGGATGAATAATTTAGATGACAGCCCTCAAGGAGCTGACCATTGGACACAAACAACTATCTTATTGTGATTTGAGGAGAGTATAATAAGTAGGGTGTGTTGGAGAGAACTCATTATTGGGGTGGGCACTGATACATAAATCGGGTTTGATAAGAAGAGAAAGGGGCCAAAGTGAGGGAGATGGTGGAAGTGGGGGCTCAGTCAGAGGGCATAAAATGAATCAAAGCAGTGAGGTCTGAAAGTACAAGGCGCGTCTTGGCAGTCAGGCCTCCGGAGAGATGGATGGGTGGTCAGATGAGACTAGGGCAGTGGACCAGTTCTGGAGCTCCTGATAAATCAGACCAAAGAGTTTGAAAGGATTCAGCTTGAAAAACGCACGCAACTGTCTATTGCCATTGCCATTCCACGCGGCCTTTCAAAAGTAGAGGCAATACCTGAGAGATAAGCTCCCAGTGTCGACTGTCATTCTTTCATTCTGCAAATATTCACTGAGCGCCCGCGACGTGCTTGGCTCTGCGGGTGACGGACGCAGCCCTTGCCCGGGGACTTGGCAATGTGACCAGGGGCTGGTCCCTCGCACCCGGACCCCGGAGCGGCGCGCCGCTCGCAACCTGCAGCCCTGGTACCCAGGCGTCTCCCGGCAGCCACTCACCTGATTCCTCGGCGGG